TTTTCGAGTTTGAAAGCCGTGGATTTTTGGAATTTCTTCCTGACGTTTTGCTGGCGCGAGTGACTAGCTTCTTCAGAGGTTTAACCATCATGGCTTGCTGTCCGATGACTAACTTTTAGGCTTCGTAAAGCGTATTTATGCCTTGTCAGGTAATCAGTTGTATTGGTACCTGAATTTGTTTCTGTACTTGTACCTGCACTTGTACCTGTACTTAAACCTGGAACAATCGAGCCAGCGAAACGTCAGGAAGAAATTCCAAAATTCCACGGCTTTCAAATTCGAAAAACAGTGACACTGAAAACTTAGCCGCGAAAGTCTAAACCATTTTGTCGTTTTTGGTATCTGTTGATGTGAGTCTAGAGCGAGCATCGTCGTTCACATCTTCTCAACCTTCTGTAAAAAGCTTTTACCACTGTCAACATTTCAAGTGATTTTGAGCACTCAATTCCATTTTTTAAAAAAATTTGTTGCTAATTCTTTGATCCATTTTTTTCGATATCAGAAAATCGCTGAACATGCATAAACTTCTAACTTTTATGCCTCTCACCAACAAAGTAAACGTGCTAAACAGCTGAAACTACGAACATATGGTCGAGACGAGTGTACCAACATAAAAAAATAAAATATCGCTAATCGAAATCGCTAATTTTTTAACAGACCTAATATACATAACTGCATAAATTGAATTTGATTTAATCATCTTTGAGGAAAGAAATCGATTTTATATTTGAGTAACACTCCATTGTGAGATTTCCACTAAACAGTTTACAGAACCGCAACACGTTTCGCTGTACAATATCTTCCTCAGACGTGTTCATATTACTACATTCAACCTAATTAGTGCTTTATACAGTGCTTTTCAGATAAAAGTATCCACCTTTAATAACTTTTATCTGAAAAGCANGGTAAACTGAATTGAACAGAATAGTTTTCAATAAATTTGCCTGAATCATTATCTGTCCAGTAAGCCACGTCCAAGCCTTTCATTTTTTTAAAAAAGAACGCTATCTTATTGGTGGGGTCACCAAAGTATATCAATGTCCTATGACTCTTATTATTTTGAAGTGGATAGTCCTGGTAAATGACTTTTTTAATAATGGAGTTGATAATATCTACCTTGTAACCAATTTTGACAATGATTTGTTTGATAAAAGTCAGTTCTTTCTGATAATGGAATATTCAATAGTTTGTGAAGCATTCTGTTGAATGTTGCTTCTTTATTTTGATAGCAATGTGTTGAGGAATTATGTATGACAAAGTTTGAATAAGATGGTTTTTGGAAATGGCAAAATCATGTTTATAATTAATTTTGGTAATACTCGTGTCTGAATTATTTATCTTCATTTCAGTGGTGAATTCATTTGATGGGTGAATGAAATTGACAAATTCAATAAACTTGCACAACTACCTGCCTGTACCGTAGTGCGATTTTTATGATGAAACAAGATATTTCCAAAATATCTCATTCCTCAAACTCAATTTTGCAATCTGTAAATTTAATTACCTGTCAAAGCTCTTAAATTTCAACATCATTATCAATTCAAACATTTTGTACTCTTTTTCAAACAATAATTGTCCCACAGAAAACCCCGTCCAGTATACAAAAATCCACTGCACGGCTTGCAACGTCCACTTGGGCAGCGCCTTAGATGGACAAGGTAACAGATTCGTGCATCCCCTCTTGAAGGTTCTCATCTGCAAGAAGTGCTATCATTTCTACACAAGCGGCGAGTTCGAAAAAGACGAGGATGGTAGCGAGCTGTACTGCCGCTGGTGCGGCCAAGGAGGCCAGGTTATGTGTTGTTCAAATTGCGAGATGGTTTTTTGCAAGGTGAGGTAACTTTGAATATTTTCTTTGTAGAAGACATTAAACAATGATAATAATAAACGTCTTTATTACTACAACCACAAAAAAATCACAATATTAAGTTCTAACTACATATATGAAGTTATAGTAAAAGGCGAAGTTCAGTTTTTGCAGCTATGCAAATAACTACTAAACTGTTCTCAGTACCAAAGCTTCTTAAAACTCAAATGAAAGTAATAGTATAAGTAGGCTTTAACTTCTAGATCATTATTAGGTAATATTCCATCATTCACAGGACATCTATTTTTTTTTTCTTTGCATATTTTAAATTAATTAATATATGCGGAATATTACAATGGTCGATATGCGTCTATAATATGTAAATGCTTTCTTTTTGAAAGTGTGCTGCATTGAGACATTTGTAATTTTCAACCAATGATGAAGGGTGATCATAAACTTTCTTGATTGTCAGTTTCATTCAAAATTACAATTTATTCGGTTTTTAACAAAGCTACAACTTCCATACATGACACAAAATACAATTATAAACAATTATCAATAATGTAAAAGTCATCAATACCATACAGATGATTTTCTGTAAGTGATATCTTTGAATATATTTTGAATTTACTGAGGCTAAGAAAGCGTTCTGTGAGAAATATCATAATATTAAACAAATATTGAGTAATAGATTACACTAAAAATTATAAGCACTACAAATTTCAGGAACGCCTGAAAGTTATATTCTTTTGAATATACATTTTCCTTATTTATAATTTATGTTCAGGGAAAATGTATCTACTGAGAAGGCAGTTTTTAAAATTAATATGGTTTTTAAAAGATTCTAAATATTTTCAGTACCATAGAGGCATATTCCTGAATATAAATTAGGAATGAAAAGAAAATTCAACTATGAACGACAATACACTAATCACCAAAATATCCAACGTTATTTATTGTATCAGTAGCTTTCAGACAATATTTCAAATTTGACACTTTTTCAAATTTCTACATAGCTTTTTATACATGGTTGACAATACTGATTATTCAAATTGGTATTTTATGTTACATGGTTGGAGTAATGTATCTTTATTTCAAAATATCTTTTTTTCCAGAAATGCATCAGAATCAATTTCGACAGAAAAAAAATCGCAGCAATCAGAGATAGCGATGATTGGTTGTGCTTCCGATGCAATCCTTCCCAACTTATTCACCTCAGAATCCATTGCTCCGAATTCATGGAATACGTTCAGAGAGAAATGGCGTAAGTATGCAAATAAATAAGAATTCCTTTTGAGACAACTAGATCGTTGAAAAGCTTGTAATTGAAAGTCAGGTCTTTTGGCAATTCATTTGTCAAGTATGCTGATCACTCTGTATGCCTGTAATAATACGTTGATCGGTCTATTTTTGTTACATGGTTTGAGTTGTGGGTGAGTTTGTATGTGGGGTCCCTGTTATAGGCTTATGCCTCTTCAGAGGCATCACTCTGTAACTACATATAAAAACCAATGGGATTGCTAGGTATTGTGAACAAGAGAAGGTGGAAGGGAATCAAAGGTGAAGACTAAAATGCAAAATTAACAATTTTGAAATTGATATTGATTAAAATATTAGAAAGTAACAACACAGTTATATTAAGTGTTTATGAATACTAGTTGAAAGAAGGATCAATTCAAACCTTTGATAAGATTTGGATGGCTTTGGAAATTCCACTATTGATAAACCTGATCATTTCAAATTATGTTGGTAATACCTTAATATACCTAACATGTAACACGACCTGAGTCGCAGGCCCGATTCCTCATGCTTATTTTAGTATGAAGTGATATTGGAAATCATAAAAGAAGAATATTACCTGTTGTGTACCTCAGGGATCTTTACTAGGACCTGCTTTATTCCTATCCATATAAAGTCTTTCGCAATGATACAATGATACAAGTTTCGAATTGTTTATCACAAATGGAAAACTTTTATTTTCAATTCATCAGAAAATTTCATTTATCCATGAAAGAAAAGTTCAACATCATTTCAAACCTAGATAACACACATCAACTTCTAAGAAACCTCTCATCATGCAGGGAAAACCAAACGTAGCAAATAACCTGAANTTATTCTCTAAATATTGAATATGGTTTCTCCCAGGGTTCGTTTCTTGGGGAAATCCGTTTATTTGTTTATCTGAATGATCTCAGTAAAACTTCCACTGATATTTGTAGATGGCATTACATTAATGTGGCATGATAATAATGTTAACCTTCTAAAAGTAACATCTACAAGGACTTGGAAGAAGGTTAAACTGTGGCGTGATTTTTGACAATAAAATAATTTTTATTGAGATTTACAGCAGGCTTCTGAGTATTACTCTTTGACAATGCAGTGTAATCAGACAGATTTTGATTTCTTCTAGTGAAAAAACTGAAAATATTATTATAAGATTGTGTACAATCTGATACAAGATAACTAAAAATTGTGAAATGCAGAGTTATTAAAAAAAATAATGATATCAAAAAGAATTCCACTCCAAAGTATAAATTATTTTCATAGTGTACAAAATTAACCAACAGAACAATTTCAAATGTAGGTACAAAACAAATTATGGGCCTATAGCTTGTTTTGAAGTCGCACACAGCACTTAACAAAATTATCTATCAAATATAGAATTGTGGCTTAAGGGCTTTGGTGGCACTGTATCAACTTTTGGGTTCTTTTTCTTGGTTAACTTTGTGTATATATGAAAATTTTGTTTCATACCTGACTTAATTTCTTATTAAAGCCGATACATTCATGCTTTTCGAAGGAAAAAGTTTTTTATTATTTTTACCATTACTTTAGTAACGTTTCGTCAATGGAGAACCCCGCCGCCTACCTGACCACCGATTACTGCCAGTGTTGCATCCCGCATAAGAAAAAAGCAGCCGAGCCTGCGGCTGGCGAACCCAAAAGGAAGAGGAAGAAGCCGTCGGAACCCGAAGATCCAGACTACGATCCTTTCAAAGACCGGGACACTCCTTCACCTGCTGTCGCGACGGCTTCACCCGCTACGGTGGCCCCTGTACCAGAGAAGGCGGCTCCGCCGCCTTTGGCCAAAGCGCCCGAAACTCCCAAAGCGCCGCAGACGGGCGGACCTCAGAAAATTGGTCACGTACCCGCCAACGCTGCCTTCAGGACGGTGGGGCCCGGCCACACACCAAGACCAAGGGTTCAGGTGGTGCAACAGGGACCAGGTGTGTAGCAGTAGTGTTTGTTTTATTTGCTTCTCTGCACCTGTATTTCGTATAATAATGTTATCACTATCACTACATAGTATAAAACAAAGTCTCTTTCCGCTGTCTATCTCTATATATCTTTAGATCTTTAAAACTACGCAAGGGATTTTGATGCGGGTTTTTTGATAGATAGTGATTCAAGAGGAAGGTTTATATGTATATAACATGCATAATATAGTAGAGAAAC